GGAGGCAGCGAGGGGCCCGGCCCCGCGCGGGGGACACGGGGCTCTCCGCGTTAGGGCGCGCGGCGCTTGTGCGCGGGTGCTCGTGAGCAGCGAAAGGAGAGTAAAGGGTGCGAAACAGGAACGTCTGCCGTTGCCTAGAACACCTTGACAAGCCCGGCTTCAGAACCAGATATTCCACTGGAAAGAAGTGAAAAACGCTACTTTGTGATTGCTCATTTTCCCCAAACCCGCAGCCCTGGCAGAGCTGGGGGCTGGTGCAAGGTGCATTTCTGGCCAGTACCAGTGGGCAGCTCCATGTGCTGCAGTTTTGCGGCGGAGCCCGCTGCCCAACTCGGGTCAGTGCAGTAATGCAGCTATTTGTCAAAGGAGTGGGCATTTAAACTTAAATAGTTGGCACGGGCCTGGTATATACTCTTTCTTTTTTGGCAGTAAGCTCCTGGTGCGAACACTGGTGACATCAAAAGAGTTGTACCTGTCTGACGGGCAGGGCTTGCATGTAGGGGGTTTCATTTTAACTGTAGTGCTGCAGCTCAGAAACTTTGTGTTTAAATAAACCCAATCTGGTTTGCTCTGTAGGAACCTGACTTCTACAGGAATGTTAAAATCCAAATTTGATGCCATACAGAAAGCATTCGATTTATTTATTTATTTAATTGTGTTCATTTGTATCCCTAGCTATGAAAAACAATATGCCCAGTCCTATTCTGTATGCCGTTGTTTTCTGCCCCCCGGCACGCTCGTGTTGCGTGACTCCGCAGCGCCCTGCTTTCTAGCAGGTAAGCGCAGCTTTGCTCAGCACTTCTGGACTTGTTTCCTTGCCAGTGTTGTACGGAGGAGGGTGCATGGAGCATAGACCAGGATGTGGAAACACAACTCTCAGATCTGTGCCCCCCTCTCTGTGCAGGGTTCATTGACCTGCTGGAAGGAAATACTTCGCAGCTGTCCTATCAATAAAATTATAATTTATCTTGCAAAGTATCTCCATTAATTGTTTGTACTTAGAACTATGCTATGTTCTTGGCTCACCGAGGCTCTTATCGCCAGAGGGGAACATGGTCATAAGGTGATGTTGGAGTGGAGCTCTGCCAGCCCAAACAGTCTCCTTCTGTATCAGTCACATATTAACACACAAAAAAAAGAGACCAGATTCACAGCAAGGCTCTGCTTAGTCACCTAACCGCCACTCTGGGG